CTCCTCTCCAGGAACCAGGGGGGAGGAGGAAGGGAAAACCAGGCGGAGGCCAGAGGGTCGTCGGCCATGTCCTCCAACAGTCAAGCTGCTGCAGCAAAGAACGCGAAATAATGAACGAACCCTCTTTGGGGGCCCGGGTCCACGAAGAGGGTTAGAGGGAAAACCGGATAATGACCTCATGAACAACGAGATCCTTACGAATCCACAGCGGTCCATATTTGAGCGTCTTGACTGTACTCCTTCGCCCCCCAGCATGCTAGGAATCCTTCCCGTCCTGCTTCTCCTCTCGTTCTTTGCCACTGGTGGTCGCCAGGCTGAGGATATCAGTCTTCGGGCTGAAGGCCTGACCCATGGTCGGGGGCGCGCAAACATGGATTAGCGATCCATGGATTTGGCGCGCTGTCGCCAAATCCATGGATCGGGGGAGGTGCCCTCCCCAAAATGCGGCCAATGTCGCCTCGCTCGGCGGCGGAAATCCGCGATTTCCCATGGAAACGGGACCCGCCGCTAATCAACGACCCCTTAGTCCATGCTTGCGATCGCCTGACATGGGCCAAGAATCTGATCTCAGGGTGTCACTTTCTGATACGGCGGACCGCTGGGCCTCCTCCTCGACCGCCCTCCCCATTGCACCTCGCCGCTCCTCCTCCTAAATGGTTGAATCGACATCCGATGCTTCCTAGGCCTTTCAGGAATCTTCTGATACCCCCAGGATCTGCTAAATCACCAGCCATCTCTCTAACCGCTCCTTGTTCCGCCCCCCAGACCCCCCCCCTGCCCCACCAAGCCATAGACAGAAAGCCAAGGATCATATAATCCTCCTCCTCCCCCTCCTCCTTCCCGCCACTCATGCTCGTATCCACCCAAACCAATACCCGCTCACCTCCTATCCCCACCCTGCTCGTCAATGTTTTCCCCCGCCTATTACCCGCACTCCTCTTCCTCCCTATCCGCCATATCGCTCTCACCATTCCCTTCCCTCAACACATCCGCACTCCTCACAACATCCCTTCAGACCTCCCCTCCAGCGTGCTTCTTGGGTTCCCTCGTGGTCCCTCGTATTTCTCACTCGTCTTCTTCCTCATCCTCATCCTTATCCTCATCCTCCTCCTTCTCCTCCTCCTCCTCCTCTTCCTCTTCCTCTTCCTCTTCCTCTTCCTCTTCCTCATCATCATCATCATCATCATCATCATCAACATCATCATCATCATCATCATCATCACCATCACCATCACCATCACCATCACCATCACCATCACCATCACCATCATCATCACCATCACCATCACCATCACCATCACCATCACCATCACCATCACCATCACCATCACCATCACCATCACCATCATCATCATCATCATCATCATCATCTTCATCATTATCATCATCATCATCATCATCATCATCATAATCATCATCATCACATCATCATCATCATCATCATCATCATCATCATCAGCATCATCATCAGCATCATCATTATCATCCTCATCCTCCTCATCCTCCTCCTCATCCTCCTTCTACTCCTCCTCCCCCTGATCCTCCTCCTCATCCTCCTATTTCTCCCCCTGCCGAGTCACGATTGTCCTGTTCCTGCTGCTTCTCCTCCTCCTCCTCCTCCTCCTCCTCCTCATCCTCCTGCCTCCTCCTCCTTCGCTCCTCCCTCCTCCTCCCACTCCTCTCCACCTCTCCTCCTCCTCGCCTCCTCCTCCTCCTCCTCCTCCTCATCCTCTCCTTCCTTTCAGCCTTTCCTCATCCTCCTTCTACTCCTCCTCCCCCTGATCCTCCTCCTCCTCCTCCTCCTCCTCCTCCTCTTCCTTCACTTGCCGAGTCACGAATGTCATGTTTCTGATGCTTCTCCTCATCCTCCTCATCCTCCTCCTCCTCTTCCTCCTATTCCTCCGCTCCCTCCTCCTCCCACTCCTCCTCATCCTCCTCCTCAGAATCCTCCTCTTCATCATGATCCTCCTCCTCCTCGTCATCGTCCTCCTCCTCCCGACTCACAAATGTGATGCTCCTGCTGCGCCGTATCCTCCTCCTCGGTCTCCTCCTCCCGCTCTTCCTCCTCCTCCTCCTCCTCCTTCTCCTCCCCAGTCTCCTCCTCCTCACCCTCCTCCTCGCCAGCATCTGCATTACCATCACCAGTACCAGCATCAGCATCAGAATCAGCATCAGCATCGGCATTAGCATCAGCACCATCGCCACCAGCATCATCAGCAAACGCATCATCATTGCCAGTATCAGTAGCAGCATCATCATCAGCATCAACATCAACCTCAACACCATCGGCATCATCATCGCCATCGCCAGCACCAGCATCCGCATCATCGACATCATCAGCCTCAGCAGCATCAACACCATCATCATCGCTAGTATCAGCATCAATACCATCGTCAGCATCATCGTCATCATCATCATCATCATCAGCAGCATCATCAGCATCACCGTCAGCATCAGCATCAGCAGCAGCACCACCAGTAGCATCAGCAGCATCGTCATCATCAACATCGACATCACCACCAGCATCATCAGCAGCACCATCACCATCACCATCATCATCATCATCATCATCATCATCATCATCATCATCATCATCATCACCATCAGCATCAACATCATCAGCATCGTCATCAGCATCACCACCACCACGACCACTACCATCAGCATCAGCATCATCAACATCAGCAGCATCGCCAACTGCACATTTAGCAACACAACAGCATCACTATCATCACCATCATCACCAGCAGCATTACCAGCAGCATCATCCGTATCAGCATCATCAGCGTTATCATCATCAGCATAATCATCATCACCAGCATCATCAGCATCAGCATATAACTATCATCATCAGCATCAGTGTCATCGTCCTCATCACCAGCATCATCATCAACAGCCGCATCATTACCAACAACGGCAGCAGTGTCATCATCATCCTCATCAGCATCAGCATTATCATGACCATCATCATCATCATCATCATCCTCATCATCATCATCATCATCAGCATCATCATCATCATCGTCCTCCTCCTCGTCATCATCGTCATCAGAATCAGCATCGTCATCATCATCACCACCACCATCATCAGCAGCATCATCATCACCAGCTTACCCCTCGCATGGTCTCTCACATGTCTCACGTATCATCCTCCTCCTCATCATCATCATCAGCATCACCATCAACAACATCATCGTCAGCATCATCATCAGCATCATCATCAGCACCATCAACACCATCATCACTATCATCACCATCATCATCATCGTCAGCATCATCATCATCCTCCTCTCCTCCTCCTCCTTCTCCTCCTCCTCCTCCTCCTCCCCCTCCTCCTCATCCTCTCACTTCTCTTCCACCTTCTGAATCACAAGCAAATGTTATGTTCCTCCTCCTCCTCCTCGTCCTCCCTCCTCCTCCTCCTCCTCCTCCTCCTCCTTCCTCCCAGCCTCCTCCTCTCCTCCTCCTCCTCCTCCCCTCCTCCCCCTCCACCTCCCCCTCCACCTCCCCCTCCCCTCCCCCCCTCCTCCCCCTCCTCCTCCTCCTACTCCCCCTCCTCCTCCGCCTCCTCCTCCTCCTACCTCCTCCTCCTCCTCCTCCCCCCTTCCTCTCCTCCTACCTCCTCCTCCTCCTCCTCTCCTCCGCACCTCCTCCTCCTCTCCTCCTCCTCCCTCCTCCTCCTCCTCCTCCTCCTCCTCCTTTTTTCGCCCCCAATTGCCCCCACCGCCCTCGTCCCCATCGATGCTCCACTCCTCTTCCGAACTTCTCGCTGCAAACCCTCTCCCAGCCATACCCCCACCCGTCATAACGCAGACCCCCCCACTCCTCCCGTTACCCGTCACCCTGTTCCACCCCCTTCGCTCTTTCCCTCCCCTCCCCTCCGCTTTGTTGGGGGCCCTGACCTTTGATGGCGCCCAGTCTCCCGCCCCCCCTCTTGGGCACCACCCCGACACGCTTTCTAGGCTGTGCCCACTGGCCGTGGCCACAAAAGGCTCCTGGGAGCCCCGAACGGGGCGACCGTGTCACAACGCCCGAGGCCCCGCCTTCGTGCCCCGTGCCCCCTCCTCCCTCCTCCTCCCCCACCTCCCCGCACCCCTCCTCCCCCTCCCCCCCCCTACCCACAACCCCCCCCCTCCCCACAACCCCCCCCCTCCCTCCCTCCCGCCGCCCTCCCTCCTCCCTCGCCCCCCTCGGTCGTGGGCATAGCGAGATTCCCTCTCGCCGAAGATGCTGTCGTACTCGCCCCTGCCCGGCTCGCTGCTCGTCACCTCCGCGGCCACCTCCGCCATGGGGGAGACACGGACCGCCGCGGCCGCCACCGCTCGGCAGGCCCCGGGCCCTCCTCGCGGGCGCGTGCACGGAGCTCGAGAGGGGCGTGAGCTCGGGAGGGCTCCCTGAGGGCCCTGGGGAGGAGGGGGAGGTGGGAGTGGGGACAAGCTGGGCGCGCTCGCGTCATCTCTGACGTCCTACCCCTCCCCCCCATCCCTTACCATGGCGCAGATCTCCTCTCTATTCGCACGGTCGGATGTCGCAACGTGGCGTAGCATCACATGGCATGGCATGGTGTTGAAGATCAACGCGTAGAATGACATAGCATGGCGTAGCGACGCCCCAAAATGCTTTTTCGGGGGAGCATGTTCTAGATTTTGGGGCTTACGTATTTGGAAGGACCGAAAGCCATGCCGTGGCATGGTACTGGAAATAATGACGCCAGCGCTGCAGCGGGAGCACAATTCGGAACGAGCGGAAGCGCGGAAATGAGAATCCTGTGAAAAAAACAGGACGCGCGGGGGGGCGGATATCGTCCGGAAGTCCTCAAGTGAGAGAGGAGAGTAGTACTCATATAGTGTAATTGTGGAGGAGGAGGAGGAGGAGGAGAGGGAGGGAAAGTTCGGGAAGGCGGAGTTGCAGGAGGAGAAGGAGGAGGAGGAAAATGAGGAGGAGGAGGAGAAGGAGAAACGAGCAAGAGAAACGAGCAGGAGGAACCGAGGAGGAGGAACGAGGAGGAGGAGGAACGAGGAGGAGGAGGAAACGAGGAGGAGGGGAGGAGGAGGAGGAGGAGGAACGAGGAGAGGGAACGAGGAGGAGGAAGGAGGGAGGAGGGGAGGGAAGGGGGGAGAGGAGGCGGAGGGAGGAGGAGGAGGAGGAGGAGGAGGAGGAGGAGGAGGAGGAGGGAGGAGGCGGAGGGAGAAGAGGAGGATGAGGAGGAGGAGGGAGGTTCTTCCGGGGACGGAGGAGGAGAAGAGGACGGAGGAGGAGGAGGAGAGAGGAGGAGGAGGAGGAGGAGGTAGGAGGAGGAGAGGAGGAGAGTAGGACCAGGAGGAGGAGGAGGAGGAGGAAGAGGAGGATCGGGCGGGGCGCCGACCGACGGCTTTAGAACAGTTTCCCTAGCCGTCGTCCGAGCTGTCCCAGCTGTCGTCTGAGCCGCTGTCAACGGCAACTTCCCTGCTCAGCGCCCGGACTAGGATGAGGAGGAGGAGGAGGAGGAGGAGGAGGAGGAGGAGGTGGAAGGGAGAAGGAGAGGAGGGGAGGAGGAGGAGGAGGAGGAGGAGGAGGAGGAGAGGAGGAGGAGGAGGAGGAGGAGGAGGGAGGAGGAGGAGGGGAAGAGGAGGAGGAGGAGGAGGAGGGAGGAGGAAGGGAGGGAGGGAGGGGGATGGAGGGAGGAGGGGGTGGGTGTGGCCTCAGGGGCCGTGGGTGGAGAGAGGCGGGGGGGGGGACCGGACGGCGGGTGGAGGCGGGCCCCGAGAGTGGGCCGTGCCCCCCCCCCCCCCAACGAGTGACAACGGCGCGGCCCCGCGCCGCCTGCTCGTCGCGGGCGGTCGTGTAGTAGAATCGGCCCATGCAGACCTCCCGAGGCGGGCGTGGTGGGCGGGAGGCGGGCCGCACAGAAGGCGAAGCCAGGACGAGGGTCAACATCGGGTGCGGGCACAGCCAACCCGTAAAACAAGAATGCGCGGTAAGGATGCAGGGGCCTTGGCAGGCCATGCCGTCACTCTGTCGCTGCCCCGCCCTCGCTCGCCGCCGACCAGGCGTCGTGCGGCCAGGAGGAACGCACACGGAGGAGCAGACGGGGCTCCGCTGGCCACGGCGGACCCCGGTCACAGACAAGCTCCACGACATGAGGAGTCCAAGGAGCGGCCCGAGAGCCCGAGCCCCTCCTCCTCCGCCTCCTCCTTTTCCTCCTCCTCCTCCTTCTCCTCCGCCTCCTCCGCATCGGCCTCCTCCTCCTCCGCCTCCGCCTCCGCCTCCGCCCTCGCCTCCTCCGCCGCCTCCTCCGCCTCCTCCTCGGCCTGCTCCTCGGCC